AATGATGTCAAACTGATTGCTAATTCAACAAATAATTATGTTTATTCTGATTGACACACAGGCAGACACCAAAAAGTCATAGCATCAAAAAATTTGAAGATTTTCCAGGGAATTGGAAAATAAAGATTTGCTGTACAAGATGTCGTTATCTCCGAAAATAAAATCAAGAAACCAAGTGAACATAACTTGGAGCAGGGTTAGTAATTAGTCAACTGGAGTAAACAATAAGAGAATTTTTAGCAGTTTTAGTCATCGTCCCAATTCGCATAATAAAGAAATTTCTTAAAATTTTGGTAAATTTTAAAAGTGGATTATTATTTTTTAAAATTAGCTTAGTCTGGCTAAAGGCCATAATTATGCCATCATATTGTGAGAATCAAACTTCCTACAACAATTAAATCCAATTTTACTACTGCCAAAAATCTTTGCTCCTTTTGTATTGGAAAAAAACTAAAGCTAAATAGAAAGGGAAAGAGTAACAATAACGTCAATGTGTAGCCATAAAAGCACAAAAAAAAAAAAAAAAAGTGTTACCTATGTTTTATTTGATAGGATCCCAGTGTTAGCTCAACTCAGGGAAAATTAATTGAAAATATTTTTCTATGGATTTTTTCTGACTAACCAGAATAATGTCATTTATATTTACTTAAAAAAATGCCACCAACAACAGCAGTTGAGAATTAATCTGTGTTTGTTTAAGCTGTCAAGAATTGCAAAAGTTGGAATTTATTTTCAAAGGAATTCATGTTGCCTTTTCATGAAAAACTTTTTAAAGAATTCCTATATTTATTATCCCATAAATTGAATTCAAGAAATATTTTCCCTTTCAAGTTGGTATTAAGCTTTTTTCAATTACAATCTGACCTTAAGGAAGTTAAGAATATTGACAGCCTCTAAAAACTGATTTCATTGCAAAGTAGAAATAATGGATTTCTTTTTCATCCAGTGAAATAAAATCTTCATGGAATTAAATATTATTAATCATTTTTAGTTCGCTAAATTAAATTGTTTAATGTCAGAAATCTTATAAGAATATTGTTCAGATGAATTTGAAATCTTGGAGAAAAATTTCAAAATTATCATTTTTAAATAAAGGCCTCGCCTAAATATTTAAACAACTGAATGCTTACTGAAATATTTCTTTAAACTAATGAGTATTATTTAATTAAATTCATTATTTAAAACAGAATGATTATTAGAATGACATGTTTATTTAAAAAAAAAGAAAAAAAAAAAAAAGAAACAATCAAAATTGAAATTAACAACGAGAAATAACAGAAAATAACTGAAAAGTTCGCTTTGATTAAAAATGCTTATTCAAAATTACAAATTTGATCTTTCACAAAACGGAAAACTAGCAAATCTATGAAAACAGTGGATGGCGGTAAACGTAAATGTCAAGGGAGATAATAAATTATGATAGAAAGAGTAAGTTCCCTTGAAAGGAGTTTTTTCGTGTTCTATTTGTTTTTACATTTTTTAAATAAAATAAATATTTCATTCATTTGACTATTTTGAACCTTAATTTTTAATATTTTGTTTTCCTTAATGGGAAATTGCTTAATAGACAAACGTTGCTCATCCCAATTTACAAAATTTTTTAGTCATTTACATAAAAAATTCCTAATGCTTCCATCACCCAACACACACAAGTGAATGTCCAAAAGTGATTAACCTTCCAAAACCTGACCAAATGACTGATATTTTTTTTCTCCATGTGATTGAGTGTGGTGGGGCGGGAAGGATTTGAGAAAATGGATTATTTCACTTTGCAAACCCAAAGATGATTGCCCATTCGCAATTTAGGCTCAGAAACTAGATCAGTGGATTAATGACTGAGAGATTTACAATGCTTTATAGGGCAACACTCTTAATTTTTCAATCTTGTGTGATTATGCAGACTTAACCAATCAGATTGATCAGATAATCTATTAAAAAACATCAACTTTATTTTCTGTTCCTTTCCATGGTTGTCTATAAATGTAATACCTTTTCACAGCTACTGTTTCTTAACAAGTATTTATTGGGGAAAAAAAAAAAAAAAAATTATATATATATATATATATATATATATATATATATGTATGTGAGAAAACGGAAATAACATATTTGTGTGATGCATTTCATCTTTCGGACTTCATTGGACTAAATCTGTTATATTGGTGTGACTACATATGCACACAAACGAGAGATGCTGGGAATTTTGATTTTTTTTTTTTTGTCTATATAAGCTAGCCAATTTCATTCAGATTCTTTTTCTTTTCATCACTTTTGTTATTAGACATCCTACACTGATAATAAATCTGCTAGGAATGATGAAATGTTGTAAGAGCCAGGGTGCAAATTTATTGTGGATGATCTTGTGATCAAGGCACTCTCTAAATATTTTCATCTTAGTGAACTGTTTTCTTCTTTGGTCAGAGTAGCATTTTTTTATGTCAAAATTGTGGTCAGTTTTGTTATGGTGAATAACTAATGCATTTGATGTATTGTTTTGTAAAATGTCCCTTTTGTGTTCATATAATCTTTTATTTAGATTCCTTGAGGTTTCTCCTACGTATTTTTTGTGACAATTATTACAGGCAATAGAGTAAATTCCTCCAAGTTTTAGCTTATTGTTTTGTTTAGTATTGACCAAGTCTTTTGTTATTTTAGATGTAGTACTAACAATTTTAATTTTATGTTAAATATCAGTTCTTTTCAATTGTAGTTGTGCTATAATTGGGAGGACATTTTTTTTTTTTTTTTTTTGATTAAGTTTGACTAGGGACCATTTTTCTATTTTGGATTATTTTATGGTTATTGTTTCACACTGAATATAAAATAATTAGGGTACAAAAGAAGCTTGAAAGTGTTTTCAATATATTTCTCTTCTCTATGCAAATTCTTAAGTAGAATCCAATGATTATACCAGATTTCATTTTGTTGTTATGATGAGAATAGAAGTTTATTAGATTGTTTTTGTTAGTTGATTTCTGGTGGACACTAAGTTTTAGGCTATTGTTGACACAATGTAGCATGATATCCTAGGAAAGGTAAGAATAGTATTCTTCCATTTCATACATAAATTCTATTGTATTCTAGACTTTGTTTAGCTTATCTACAAGATAAGATAAATGAGTATCATGATGATATATTAATCACAAGTACTTATGAAATAACAGTTTGACCAAAGGTTCAAACCACCACTCAGCTGGGCATTCCCAATAATTGTGACATCTTGGACCAGTTATTTGAAAGCTGAAACCAACAACTGCAAACAAATGAATGCAGTTCATTTGATGGACATTTCAGAGATCCTTGAAACTAACTAGAAATTATTTACTACTCGATATGCCTTGGATTACATCAGTATAATAACTCCACATCGACAACACAAACTAATGTGAAGGGACAGGTGGGTTTATGCCTTTCCCATGACTGATTGTAATTTGTGGACATGACACTCAGATTTTATTTTTCCAACTTAAATTTTGGGTAGTCTTGACCTCACAATATCTAAAATAGAAGAAACTATTTCTGTTCCTATCTATCTATTCGGGTTTCTTATCTATCTATTTAACATGAGCAATATCAACCTAAATTTAATTTTTCAATTGTTTTCAACACTACAAACCATTAATGCTACTCCGCATATGCATTTTAAAAAGTAAATTAAGAAAAAAAATACAAAATGCAATTCTAAGTGGATCGGTTTTACTGAAAAAAATAAATTGAAATAAAAAAAATAAATCAAGGCTTTATTGAGTAGGGAGATCAGGATTCTTTGCTTCAAAGTTGTACCACAAGAAATCTGGAGAAAATGACAACTGGCAAAAAAAAAAAAAAAAGTTTCATTTCATGTCTATCAAAATAGTTGCCATTCTCCAAGATTGAAATTATGTCCCAATGTACATCACAGAAAATCAGTTTTTGTTTTTCAAAAGGAGCACGTGAAAGAGGTGAATACTTTGTGAAAACCATTCTTTCTGATCCAAGACAAAATAATTTTCAATAACCTAATATTTTCAGTATCTTTCACATTTTATTGTTAAAAGATAAGAAAAAGAAATTATAAAGACAATATTAGACATTTTATGAAATAGATTTGATTTCTCTTAAGAGATGATCAACTAAAGAAACTGAAGAATTGTTAGACACACAAATTAGTCACATTTGACTAAAATTGTTTAGTAATTAAACTAAAAAGTGCAAGCTTGTATCTTGTTTTTAAAGACAGGTGATGAACAAGAGGATAGGAAGAATGTTTATTAAAAGGTTCTGTTAACTAAAAAATAGTGAAAACTTTCAAAACAAAAGAACACAAAAACCTAGGAAAATATAAATGATTTTATTTTCTTTTTTTAATGTATATTTCTTTCTTAAAACCTTTTTCCCTATTGTGTATGCAAATCAATGACAACATGACCACCAGAAATAAAGAACTGAAACATTTTTTTTTTTCCTTTCTTATCTTTCAAGTTTTTCTTTTAGTAAATCTTTATACATATTTTTCATAGTCAACTAATTGCTTGCCCCTTTGCACTTTCTAAAAGTCACCGATATTCCTGGCGTAGTTGCAGTGTTGTTTTGTTTAGTTTTCATACTGATGTTTGTGTGTTTTTTTTTTATGCTCTGTGGTACAAGTAACATTCTGGTAGCTGACATCTCCAAAACTTAGCAGATACATGATAGGTTGAAAACTGACCAAAATGAAATGGTCAAATATTTTCAGTCACATATCATCCAAGGATAATTTTCTTTTTCTTTCTTCATTATCCAAGCCAAACATTTCACAACTAAAACGAATTTTCTTTTCTTTTTTATTCCAGGATAAGATCATTTCAATCCAAAGAATAAAAAGTTACAATCCTCAAAATTGATTCTTTTTATTTCTTTTTTTTTTTTTTTTAAAAAGGTAATTATTTTTTTGATAACAAAAACTTTCAGGAATTATTCTTCCTTCACTTCATCTGGCCACATTTGGAGAGAATGTCTTTGACAGAGAATAAAATTACAATTCACTTGCCACATCGCTGTTGTGAATTTGCATAACGCACTAACAAACCAAGATAGCATTTGTAATCTAAATCCACATGAGTAGGTAAAGACCTGCAAAAAGAAAGAAGGAAAAATTTTTAACATTCTTTTATTTTCATGAAACAAATGAAATGCTATACAAGATTTAATTTACACGCCAGCTTTAAGGCAGCTATATTGCAACAAGTACTTTAGTCAATGTTACGATTTCTTCACAACTCCAAAAGTGTGAAATATCAAAAAGTTACTGATATATTAAACATACAAATGACCAATCCATCTAACTTCATATTCAGATACCATGCTTCTCAGAGCAATACTTTAAAATAAATCTTTATATTAAGATGGCCATTCTCAAATTCATATAAATTGGGTTTTTTTTTCAAAATAAAAAAAAAAAAAAAAAAAAAAAAAAAAAAAAAGAGAGAGAAACTGTAAAAATAACTTTTGAAAATTGCATTTCTAAAATCCTACATAAACCAGAATCTAGAAAACAGTAAAGGGCATTTTGAATCCATGCCAGTCATACAAGGCTCTGACATTAAAGCCTGAATAGTTTCTGGAAAAATTTATGTTTCAAAAGCAGTAAAATCATTTTGAAATTCATTTTAAAATTGTTTTAAAATTTCTATTCCACGTTTTATCCAATTTATTTCTAAGCATTTTTATTTTCAGATAAACAAAAATTTAAGAATTTCTGAATTCCTAAATTAAAAGATGAGAACAAAAACTCTGGCAAAATTATTCATTCAACCAAATGTTTTTGTTAATAATAATTCAAAAATAATAAAAATTAAATGGACATTGATTTAATCCAAGTGTTTTCAAAACAACCTCAATGACTATAAGAGACTCACTTGAAATATTACAAATATTAGCAATTCATACTTCAAATGCAACGTAACAGATGCTGGCAATTATTCATGTGATCACATTGAATATGATAAGTTTTTATAGTTACAACAAGCCACAAAAAGCAGAATTTACAAAATGACTTAACCACAGCTGTTTGTGCATTTCACTAATTGTTATGTGGTTACTTTGTGACACAAAGAAATACATAAATATATTATGGCTTGGTTAGCTAAAAATAATAATTAAAATTTTAGTTAATTGTCCACCCTTTTTCAATTTTTTACAATGATGCGTTTTTGTTATTTTTTTTTTTTTTTTACTTCTCCATGTAGAACAAAATAAATTGATATTTCCTTTGGTAAAGGATTTGCTAAATGAGCATATCCAAAGATTTAAAAAAAAAAAAAAAAAAAAAAATCAAGGCTTTATTGAGTAGGTAGATCAGGATTCTTTCCTTCAAAGTTGTACCATAAGAAATCTGGGGAAAATGACAATTGGCAAAAAAAAAAAAAAAAAAAAGTTTCATTTCATGTCTATCAAAATAATTGCCATTCCCTGAGATTGAAATTATGATCTAATGTACATCACAGAAAATCAGTTTTAAATATATTAAAGATTGGTTAGCTAAAAATAATAAATTATAATTTTAGTTAATTGTCCATCATTTTTTCAATTTTTACAAGCTGATGGTTTTTTTGTTTTTTTACTTCTCCATGTAGAACAAAAATAAAATATTGGAGATTCACTGGAGATTATTTACAGTAATATACACAGGACAACATGAAGACAGGTTGAACATTTGAACAAAGGAGACATTATGTAATTAATATTATTTGATACTTAACAAGTAATATAAACATTGTTTAGCATCCTTTGATACTGAATCAGGAAAACAAAAATAATAAAAGGTGATTGGGCAAAAAAGATAAAGATTTACTTAGGTAAATTTTATTTCAGTTATATGTTGGAGCAAACAAAATCTACATAATAGGCGGTAATGATTATTTGAAGAAGACACTGGATGAATCAACTTGAAAATTTAAAGTTATCAAGTATCTATACTTTCAAACTTATTTACAAAATTTTTGTTTTTTTAATTTAAATTCAAGAAATTAGAATAAAAAAAATTAAGTATTTCAACTGTATTAATCCTTTGATCCCTGACCACCACTTTACCAGTGGTAGAGAAGAATAACAATGCCCAGCTACTGGTTGAACAGTAGGTAAAGACTTGTAACTATTTTTATATCTACCATGAAATATTACATACCAATTATTTGCAAATTTTGACTCGGGAGCTCAGGCAGAATGGTTAAAATTGTTCTGGAACTCAGGGCTCAAAGGGTTAAAAATCATTGTTTTAAAATCTTAAAGACATCAAATTACAAATGTATTAAAAATTGAAATAATATAACCCTTGAAAGTCTTCAAGAAATTAATTGCTATTTTCAACTTTCAAAAGATTCAAGAAAAGAAAAAACTTTTACTTACAAAATTTCAGAAAACTGTGATTGCCAAGGGGAGAAACCTAATAATGAGTCTATTTTACCAAATTTAACAATAAGATCAGGATCTGGACAGCCATATTTGGCTAAAAAGAAGAAAAAAAGAAATAAAAACAACAAAAACATGATAAATGGATTAATCATAAAATATTTGAGAGAGTTAAGAAACAAAGATAACATTCCAAAACACAAAGGGTAAACAGAAAAACAATCACAATAAAAGTGAAAAAAAAAAATTTTTTTTTTTTTTTTTTTTAATCATTTCACCCCCAGGTAAGACAATAAAACCACTAAGACACAGGGGGCGGTGTACTGAGCGTAAAAGAATATAAGAAAATGAAAAACATTATTAAGGAATGAGAACAATAAAAGAACAAAAATTAAGAAGACAGAAGATAATTGACATTTCATTTACATTTTTGATGATCAAAGTTGACTGGGAAGCAAGAAGCTCGAAGAGAGTTCCATAAGCAAGAATTAAGATAGAAAAGAAAGTGTTAGCCTAGAACTTAGAGTTACATCTAGATATTTCTGCCAATCTAGTACTGCACTTAAATTCACATGAAAGTATTTATAGAAAGGGCACAGGGAAGCAACATTATGGTGATGGGAAAATAACTGAAGCTGAGATGCCAGGTCAGAACCAATGACATTGCAGATTCTTCTTTAGCTTTTATCAAGGTTCTCTAAATATATAATAACAGCAACAGACCATATGTGGTAGAAATATTCAAAGCATCAACAAATGGTAGACTTATAAATATCTAAAATAAATTTGAGAGAGAAAAATTGTCTAGCACAGCAGAGTGAACCATGTTTCCTAGCAGCAGACATAGCAATGGATTCAATATCATCTTTCCACTAATTTTTCCACAACAGAAAACATTAGCCCAAGAAGGTGCAATGTAGTCAATCTCCTGGAGGTCAGCATCAGCCATACTGATGGAAGGCAGATCAGGTCCCTCTCATGATTAATAGAGAGCAGTTTTGTTTTTCTTCCTGGCCCCCAGTTAACCACAGAATGTAGATCAGTTTTGAGGTCAACTGTCAATTTGACCAGGTGTAAATGGTTGTGTCATTAGCATAAATACCAAGTTGAGAATAGATGACGTCAGGAAAAGGTCATTTATTGGGATAACATTTTGGGCACCATCATCATCATAATAAAGGAAAAAAGAAAATAGTTACTGAAACTTTTAATTCAGACATAAAAGTTAATTCAACTGCTTTATCAAAAAATAAATTTAGATAAATGGAGAATATATAAAAATTTTGAAAATGACATGCCTCCTTGGTTTTGGAGCAAAGAAGATGGTTTCTGATGGCCAAGTAGAGGAATTGATACAGTCATATGCTGCTGTGGGGTTGACATAGAAAGCATATGATTGTCAGGCATATTTTGATAACATATACTCCATCATTACATCCCTTACCATGATGAAGCCAAACTGTGTTGAGTGGGATTGACTTTCATAAAACTACTAAAACCTAATTGATAAGAATTTCATTAATACTTTCATCTTAATAGATCCATCTGAGATACCCTCTACATGTGTGAATGTCTTGAAGGTTAACTTATGTTTTCATAGTGTATTAATGTTTGTTAAACACCCATTTTTCAAACATTCAGCCCCAATGTTAAATGACGCCTTATTATTTTTTTTTAATAGCTGTCTTAATATCCTTGTACTTATTGTATATGTTTAGAGATGTACTTAATAATGACTAGATAATTATTAGTATATTTTCTATTTTTGTGGGCATATCTAGTTTAATGTAGTCTAGATAGAGAAGTAATTCAAAGTGATTTTGAATCCAAGAGACTTCTTTTGGTTTTGAATATATGATGTTCTTAGGATGTTTCACTTTTATCCATTTTTAACAGCACCGTCAGAAAGAGAATTTCATCAGCAAAATATGCAAAAGTCCAAAATTTTCTAAATTGTCTATTTATTCTATCAGATTCTCATCCTGTTTTACTCCACACAGATGAATGCCATTATTCAACTGATTTCTTGACCTTTTCTTGACCCACAAATATCGGTTAACACTAATGCTGTCAGACAGTGTTTTTTGTACAATTGTGTCACCAAGTTTACACATATGCTTAAATTGCTGGTAGAATCCCCGGCAGTGGACGGATAATAAATGACAATAATTAGATTTTAAAATAAACATATATATTCAATATATATTGAACATTTTCTTTCATAAGATCTCACACCAGAAAAAAAAGGTGTGTTTGATGCATTCTCCTCCTTTAGTGTGGCATAAAATTGAAAAGCAGTGTAGAAGAACATTTGTGAATGGCTTAGGAAGAGTTCTACTATGTTATATACAGAGGCAGGGCCTAATCTCATACTAGTTATTAACTTGCTTAGATGATAATCTGAGTGAGCCCTTGTCCTCACTAAAGAGTTCCTTTTATAGAAAGAGTTCAAGGGAGATAACTGATAATAAACATTGCAGTTCTTTTCACCTTTTTTTTCTTTTTTCCTTCTTCAAAGTTGAGCTGTACCAAATACTTCTAATAATTTAAATCAGAAACAACTCTTTTTGTCAAGGAGTCTACCAAATGTAATTTATCATCCATCCATCCAAAAAAACCTTTATTTCCCCCTCTGACACCATTCTTCTCAATCTTGTTATGTCAACTCTTAATTTTTTTTTGTCACTAATGTTTGTAGTTCCCAAAGCACTAGTCAGTGATCTATCTGTATAGCATTGTACTAGCAGCGATACAGCCATACCTAAGGTTTCTTGCAACAGAGACAAAGAATCCTGCAACTGAAATCCTTACTTAATGCCAAAACTTCAGATGCCAATGGATTCTTTTTTTACTCTGTCCAACTTTCTAGATTGTCAGCTAATTGGCGCAAATAATTATTGTTGTTTTTATTCAAGATAAGAACAATTCTTGTTCTCACCTTGAATAAAAACAACAATACCACCCTGAGAAGACACACCTTCCAGGTTAGAATATGTAGCATCTGAATATGCTAAGACTCATTTTTTTTTTTAAGATCACCCAAATTAGGAAATTTTAGTGCAATTTTCTTAGTTTTCAATTTAGACACTGATTTGTTTACCTCTTGTAGTATTTTCACAGTTGGATGTTTTCCTGTATTGCACATAATACACATTTCATAGCTTATATCTGATCTTGTTTATGAAGCAAGCCACATCATTTGTTCACTTAAGTATTTTAAATCAGTTTTCTCTTCTGCAATAAATCCATCTGTCTTCCTTGTGGTGCGACTTTTAGCTATACTAATTGGTGTTATTGTATGATTCTTGTTTTATTTGCACTCCTTTTGTAGTTTGCACAACTTTCAATCCTAGATATTTAAATGATCCATTTTCATGTGTGCTGACCTTAAAAATATTCTCTTTAATTTTCTATGATTTGTTCCTGAAAAATATCATTACCACAGAAGGCAAGATCATCCATATAACTAACCAAAATTTCTACAAGTGATCCACACTCATATCAGTTGAATAGAGCATTGTCATACAAACTAATTGTACCCCTCACCCAACTGTAAGAGTACTTCTTCAATTCTTTTGTACCAAGATCTGGGTGCATCATTCAATCCATAGATGCATCCTTTAAATACACCAGACTTCAGTTTTTGAACAGACATCACAAGGTATGTATAGAAATATATCTCTTTCCAAAGGATCCATACTCTTATATAAATAGCTTGCAACCTCCAGGACATCAAGTTTGCTGTCAAAAATAACAAGTATAGACATTCTCTACTGCAGGTGGGAAAATCTTTTCTAAGATTGTTAGTGTCCTCTTCGAAGCTATGGGCCACTAATTTTACTTTAGTTTTCTTTTTGTCATCTTTATATTTTTCAGATATTATCCAGTGAGAAAATAGTGTAGTCTGTTTTTCAAAAGAAACCACTTCAAATATATTATTATCAATCCAGTTATTCAACTCTCTCCTTAACATCCACAACATCTTGGGACATTTCTTGATCCATGGTTAACAGTACAGCATTTTCTGGATAAAGCAGTTCCTTCCAATCATCAATATGGTCCCAATTAACACATCTTCGTTCTTCATCCCCCTCCACATGAAAATTCACTTATTTCTTATATTTTCCAGTTTGTTTAGGCTGTATGCTTAATACTTTGACTTCATTCTTCATCTTGTACATGATAAAAGAATTTCTTATTGGTTCTACACTATTACCTATATCCAGAAGTGAGTTTTCGCATTTACCATCAGACATATCTTCCTTCTGGGAGTCAGCTTCATCTGACATTGAATATTCATGAGTATCAGCCTCCTCATCTACATCAATAATATTTATAGGTAGTTCTTCATCTCTAGTCTTATATTCTGATCTTGTTTTGACCCAATATATATTACTACAATCTTTTACTTTCATTGACATAGATGAACACGATAGTTAGATGGTGTACCAATACAGTTTGTCCTCCTTTCCCAGGCACAAGTGTAGGACATTTCCAAACTTTAAAAACTTTTTCTGCAATAATAATACACCACATCTGAATAAGTGTGCCCCTTATGTCTGAGCACTCTCCTGATCTTTTCACTTTTCACTGCTGCAATATAATTTTGTCTGGCACTGTATAAAGCATCCATGATTTGACGTATAATATCACTAGATGAACACAACATAGTTGAAAGTTCATCCTATAACATTGACAGAAGGTTAGAGTTAACTCCAGATACTAATTGGTTTGAACTAAAACCACCATTATTTTGTAATGTGTTTTTGACACTTACTGCCTGTGCAAGTGCAATTTTTGGTTCACATTTCATATCTGCAATAGTCTTGTAAAATGTATCTGATTATGAAGTTCCACAATCCTATTGCTAAACGGTCATTCACTTGTTGCTGCAGTTTCTATATTTAGTTTAGCATTCATTTCCTTGTATCTTTCATTTCAAAATTCCCTTCCATTATTACTGAAGATTTTTCTAGGTTCACCAAAATAAGTTATCCACATTTGGTAGATGTTTTGCATAATTTCATCTTGTTGTTTAGAATACACTAAACAGACTGCAAAATATCCTATGGCAGAATCAGTCATATGCAAAAATCCAAGTTTTATTGTGAATATGTTCCTTTAAGTCCAAACACACAACTTTGTTAAATTTATCAGCTATGGGAAAAGCTACAACGGAACGTAAAGGTACACATTTATATAGTTTGCATGAATCACAACATTTTTCAATTATCTTAAAGAATTTAGCATCATTAAAATCCTTACTCCCCTTTCACAAATTTAAACAACTTTTCTTTTAAAGGATGTGAAAATTGTCTGTGTAGCTTCAATGCTTTTTTTTCCTTTTCTCTTCTGGTGTTAAGGTTTTTACAGAAGTAAAGCATTTCATAATTTTCTATCCTTGCCAATTGGATTGGAACCTATATTATCTCCATAAGTTCTGCTGGGGGAATTTTCAACCACTTCTAGAATTTACTCGTTCATGCCAACCTTTTGTTTGAAATATATTCTCATTTTCAGTTAGAAAAACTGTTTCAGATTTGACCCGTGGTGCACCTATCTGGCCATTAGTTGTGGCAGGATCACCCAAAAATCTTTTTTATTGTGCATTTCATATTTTCATAAGTCAGAGAGCCACATGTTTCATGAGCCAGTCTATCATTTTGTCAGACACATTTACTATAATCAATAGGAAAATGGAAAGGTACATCCCTCTGGTAAATGAACTCTAAAACTGCCCCGTTTGTGATACAGGTATTCAAAGTGAATCAAAAAGTCTGTTAGACTTACACCAGAATGGCACCTGGAATTGTAAAATTCTTTAAAGACTAAATAAGCTGCTACCATTTGTTTAATTGCTTAGACAATAAACAACCTGAGTTCTTGTCCTTACTGAAAGAGTTCCTTTTATAGAAATAGTTCAAGGGATATAACTGATATTACTGTCGGAAGTTGCATAACAAGGATGATTTTAAAAGCAGAGTTTCTTACCAATAAAAAAAGAAAAAAAAAAAAAAAACGAGATAAGTATGAAGGATAAAGACACAAACAAAAAAAAAAAAAAAACATGATATTTTTTATTTATTTTTATATATATATATATATATATATATATATATAGTGTATTTAGGCAGCAATTCCTCTTTTATACATGTTTCGTTAAAGACAACCGACAAGGCTGCAATTGGGCTTTTTTTGTTTTTAAATTCTTCTTGTGTTTTCTTTTCTGGACACAAATTGTGTAAAAACTGTCCAAATGTTCTACATTTCTGAGCTCTTTCTGCTATACTTTTAGCCATTATCAAAGATGATTTTATTTTTACTGTTTAACTGAATGTATGATTTGTGTCATAAGGAGGTTTTATTTTCCAAAGATGGTCAGCACATTGTGGCCGTGTTCATTACTGAGTGTTGACTTTTTCTTTTTTATTATTAGGGCTTCCATTATTTTTAATCTTTTTTTACATATGGCTGAGATTATTATGCTTATATTTTCTACTAATATGTTTCAGATGGAGTCTATTAGGTTTCTGTGTGTTTTCTAATTGTGCTGTGGTCAGATAGATGTAAACTAAGTTGCCAGGATAGGCATGTAATAGTGTGTCCGATGTAATTATTTACGAGTTTGGTTTGATCATAAACGCAGTTCCTTAAAGAGCATTTGAATTCATAATTAAAATTGTTATTTTTTTTTTTTTAATTTTGAATTTGCAGGTGTGTTGTTATTTTTGAGAATAAGGCTAGCTATTTTAAATATTTTGTAATAGATAATTTTTTTGTCCAGGTATCTACTATAAATAATATTTAAATTAATAAAAATGTCAAATAAATAAAATTCCATTATTTCCTTAAAAATATTCCATAATATGGCAAATTGGGTTACAGTGACAGATCAGAAAGACTGACAATGTTTACATGATTCAACATTGATTTATTCAACCACATATGTACCATTTTTTTTTTTCAATGAATTTCACCAACATTGAAACATCTTGATGATACCATCCTCCCAGAACTTGGCATATTCCTGGGTCATGAACTAGTCTAAGTGATTTTTTTTTTGTTTACAGGCTCCTAGAGAATTAAAGTTTTTCTCATTAAGTATTCAAATCCACAATTATTTCCACTCAATAGCCCCTAGAATAATTTACCACCTACCCAATAACCATTAAAAATAATATACCTACCCATAATGCAACATTCACCAGCAAATATAGTAGAGCCAAAACACAATGCACATGGCCTAAAGATTGCATTTAAGCATGAAACAGTCAGTCACCATTGGATGTTGACCTCATTATCTTACACACATCATACATTTCAGTTGAATGTTCAAATACCGCCTATTGAGAAAAGCTACAAACTTTGTTCTAACTCAATACATTTAGTAAAATCTTCAGTTGAAAATTAAAGAAAGGTTACGAAATATGATAACAGACACCTGAAGAAGGGCAGAAGGTATAGTGGTTGAAATGTTGTAAACATAGCACACTGGTTTAAATGTTAAAGCATATAATGAGGATTAACTGTTTAATCTTTTTAAGGAATTAACAGAAGTTATGCTTTCATTATCAGCTATGTCTAGAATTTTGTTGCTCTTAGATATTTTATGGCAACAAAATTTGTTTCATAAAACAGTTCTCTCTTTAGAAAATTGTAGATGGCTGCCTTCAAAAACAAAATGGCTACTACTCAGACTATTGTGATTTCTATAACAATGCTTTCTTTAATTTTGTTGAAAACTAAGAACATGCTGCTTTATAGATGTCAAAAGCATCCTTCATCTGATTAAACAATTCTATCAGGATACAAAGCTACTAGTCATATTTGAATTGTTTACTTTTTGCTATACATTCTGAGTACACAATTCTTCTTCAACCTTTGAAGAATTCATATTCACCAACATGTCAAATTTCAAGAGTTGTTCACTGATTAAACATTGATATAAAAAAAAAAAAAATCAAATTATATACCAAAGTGACTAGATATGAAGTAATTATGTACATAAAACTTGAAATTTCAAAAAGTGGAAACTATTACAATTTACCTATTCAAGCCAGACATATGAAGCCACTTTATTGATACAATGTCACAAGACATTTTGGGCAAATTTCACACTATTTCAGAACACTGCCTTGTGTAACAGAAAAAAATCAGTAGTAAAAAGCAGCAAATGGCCAGTATAAAGTTGCTCAGATGAATAACCTTATTTTATTTACATGTTAGGTTGTGTAAATCTTTTCAATGATTAAACATTGGAGCATTTTATTTATGAATCAGTTGACTGTTGAAAATTTTTAAGTCATATCCACAGATTGTGAAAAATTGATTTCAAATTGAGACTCCTCCAGATAGCAGTCAACCGTGGATGTGTAAAAAAAAAACATATCAGATATGACAAAATTAATTCCTTTCTTTTATATTTTCTTTACTATTTTTACAACCGAAATTGTATTTTAAATAGAATATTCCAAACAAGAAATCTTTCCTATCACAAAAATAGAAAAGATCAACATGCTTTGCAGTCTCTTACAACTCAATTTTCAAAAATAACATCTATGTCTATACACCTGTCATTTTAGTCGGAATGAATCATCAAATCAAACACCATAAAAAGTGATTTGTTGCAAGAATTTTAAACATTTCCCAAATAGTTTAAGTCAGCATTCTTCACACATAGAAATCTATATCACCCAATTTCTCTATGGTCCGGTTCATTGGCATAACATGACAAAAATGGTACATCATAATGCGAATTTTGTTAATACAATATGGTTAAAATGCTTTGAAGCAATTTCGAGTCCAATTGGTGCACAGATTTCCAAGTAATTTTTAATTAAGTAGACAGGGTAGGTTTGATCTGTTCAAGGGAGATAACTCCAAGCCTATTAAATCATAATTACAATTTTTCCCATCTGTACTCTATCATAGCATACCAACAGCAATACTTTAAATAATACTAAAGCTGAGCGATTTGAAAATTATAAATTCCATAAATAGAAAGTGACTTGACATCTAACATGCCTCCAAAAACAATAATTAAAAAAAAAAAAAAAAACAACTTAGATAAAATTCCAATTAATATTCTCATCATAAACATATCAAATTCTTTACAGAGGAAAATTTTTCTCAGCTGCATTAATTAAAAAGGTATTTTTTTTTTATTATTTTAAATAAAAAAAAAAAAAAACTGACTCACCTTGATAAAATTTATCTATAAGACTATAATCTATATCTTCAACTTTGGTTTGTCTTTGCAGTACCTGTTTACATAAATGCTGAGCTGCCTGAACTAATGTCTGTCGACCATCATCAAGTGACATTATATTGACAATGATTTGTTTGTTGGTGGAACCTAGAAAAAAAAAAAGAAGAAATCTTTAAATCAACACCATTAATAATACTGATCTACTAAAGTAGATTTTAATAATAGTTTAGAGATTTAAAAGCAAATCATCTCATTAAGAGAAGAGTGAAATTTTTGGACAATAAAAATAAATATGTCTCATCGAATATCAGTTATCCAAACACTTTGAAGTTGTGAAAATGCTTAATTTTATGACTTTGAAAAGATGGAGTTTATTTGTTGTGGTTTATGAACAGAAAGTGGCAGTCAGAAAAAATAATTAAAAGGCATGATTTAAAAGCATGACAAAATCTGTAAAGATGTCTTCATTCACTAGACAACTTTGAACAGACATGTACTTTTAGTACATGTCTGTTCAAAGTTACTATAAGTATTGGATTGACAAGCAAAAAAAAAAAAAAAATGATAGCAGGCAGATCAGTTAAAAAGCAACAATGATGGCACAACTAGAAATCAGGAAGTATCCAAGGAAACCAAACCAACAATTGAGAAAATTATCAACCACAGAAAACTCATGAAAGCAGCAAAATATCTACACTTTAACAAAGATGCATTTTTGTGAATTTTCCAAAAGTCTGATAAAAGATTCCCATGTCTAATGGGAAAAAAAAAAAAAAAAAAAAAAAAAAACAAACAATAAGTACTACAAGTTTCCATGAATGAATCGATGCCAGTGAAGCACAACAAAAGTTCAATCACAGCATAACAGATTAAAGAATTTCAAAGATTGTGGCATCATACCACTTTGCACTCTTGGAGAGAATTCCAGGAATTTCAGTATTATGGATGAAAGTACCGTCATATACATTATTTCCCATAATTGGAATTCTTCATACAATGATTACCTCCCTTAGTACTTTGTTCCATATATATATTTCTAATAACCTCCTTTTGGCCTGGTCTGTGCTTATTTCATTGCAAGCCACTTTGTTTATTAAAGCCAGCATTAAGTTATTTTCTAGTCCACTTGCTTTAATAACAAGTACAATGTACCAACCTTGAAGAAAATTATGAACTTGAACAATTGTAGAATATTTTAATGCTAACGTGCATTGTTTTTGGTGTGTATTGCTGAACAAAACACTTGCATCAATCAAAGAAAAGTAGGCACTGAAACGCAATGTATATAAATGAGTGAATTGTTTCCCCCCCCCCGCCATTTCTCCTGCCATTTTATCACCATGGCACCAGCACTCATAATTTATTCCCAATCTATATAGCAAGCTTTATGATGGCCCACATCTCCCCATAAAATGTACAAATAAGAAAACAAAAAATGAACTCAAAACAAAGAGCCCTATTAATGACAATGCAGAGTCACAGAGTATGAAAGACAACCAATAGACAGGTGATTTGTTCCCCACACACCATTTCACAGTCAAAACTGCTCATTACAATAATCAAGAAATATTAAATTGTAACATGTTGCATGCAGTCATCAGTGAAACGAGTACAAACAAAGAATCGTCAAACCATTCACAATGAAAGACAGTTTAGGATCACCAATTTCTGTGTCCATCTCCAAAAGCCACCAACAGTCAAAAGGTTTGCACAGTTAGTGGCCTTTGCCAGTGAAGAGGAGACAATGCATCAAAGAAAATTATGGTCAACTGGGAAGAGGAGACTTATAAAGACTGGGATGCGTTTACTTGGGTAAAACAGGACAAAAAAATCAAAACCGATACTCAGAAAAGAACAGCAGTTTTATAGATGATAAAGAAAGTTAGATACCGATATATCTTGCAACCAACATCAATGAAGCCATTTACAATTTCTGACTTTTCATAGAGTGGCATTAATTTAAAGCCTCTTTGCATCAAATGTTATCATCGACAAAAAAAAAAAAATAAAAGAAACTCAACAGCAAAATTGGATATTTTGCTCACAAAACATTGTTTGATTACCACCTCAGTTATGTTTATTTACATGAACAAAGTGGATTTGATGAATTCAGTGCATCTCCTGTGCATATATGTAAATGTATTTTTATAAATTAAGAAACGATTCCTTCAATGTTCTGCTCCATATATTTGTTATTTAAATGACATTTGTGAAATATTACAAATGTTTAAACAATAACCAGTATTCTTACTCATTCTATCAAGTGAATGAAAGAAACACTTTAAACTTTTATCAATGTTTAAACTTTATGTCCAAAAAAATAAATAAATAAATAAATAAAAAAGATGTGAAAAGGGTGGTTATTCTCTTGATACTGCTATTACTGTATACACATTTGCTTACTTACAAAATTATACAAATATATGAATCAAGTATAATGCAATTTTTATTATCTAACATTTTATAAATAGTGTATATACTCATGTATTATGTGACTTTTGAAGACCTAAATTTGAAGCTAATTTTAAGAGGGTTGCATCATACATGAGAGATAAAATTAGCATACATCCTGTACTGGCTGTTGACCAAAATATATAAAATATATATATATATATATATATATATATATATATATATATATCCATTTACTGTGGTCAAAAATACAGCAGTATTTAAAGTCAGCATAATTTTCATAAAACTGAGGCATTACATAACTGCATCAAATAATAATGCATGTAATATTCACATATTAGTATCATATTATAAAATACAAACATAGCGAATATGCATCTTTTCCACTGTTTAGGTTTATAAGATGTTTAGCTATTTCTTGTTCGGTTGTTTATAGCTGTACACATTAAGCAACATGTATAACGTTACTAATACTGTTATCATTCTCTTTTACTTTTTTAACTTATTTAACTTGAAGATGGGATAAAGAGTTAGAACAAAAGAAGTTAATCTATTGTAATTTGGTCTCTCAAAAAAGGAACCCGCATTATACATGAGATACACGATAAAAGCTTTTTTAATATGTTAAAATTTAGGGGTTGCATGCTAGGTGAGATTGCACGTTGCACAAGTATATATGGTAATTATGAAATAAGTTTTTTTATTCAATCTAATAAATAGTTTCATATCTTCAAGAATTCAAAAGAATAAAGAAAACATAATCCACCTTATTAAAATTCTAATCATCACTTTTCAAAAACAAACATTGTCAAGAGTCAAAAGTGTACACAGAAATTTCAATGTCACAAAAATAACTGTCCTTTTGAGACACTATTTTTTATTTTTTTGCAGGCACAAGGGTTAAACATTGCCAAACTTTTTTTTTTCTTTTTACATGTTCAGTATGGTTTCCTTTTTTTATAAACAAAACCAATGAATATATATTTTTACACACACACAGAGCACACCAACTATTTGAGAACCCATCTTTAGTGGAGGCCATAAATGAAAAACAGCTTAACATGTATATCAATTTTTAAAATTCCCATTTCTTTTTCATTATATATATATATATATAAATAAAGTATAAACATGGTAGTTTCCCATCTAACACAAGAAATGAATAAACACTGAGGCTTGTAGCACTCACTGCCAGCCACAACTACTCAGATAACGATCTCTTTGAAAGTGGATAGTGAACAGAAGGAACAACAGGTGGTCTCTAATGGTCCTAAGAGTCATGAGGCAACAAGGACAATGTTATATGATACCCCTACACTTCTTCTGCCAAGGCTGATGCCACTGCCTATATTGAATATACTGGACATGATGGTCAAACACTAGATTGGAGGGGTCGTCATAAAGGTTCCAGCAAAACTCTGCCACTTTCCAAATGATCCAAGAATTTTTGCAATTATGCTATTCCCAATATATGGTCTCCTTGTTCCGATTTCAATCAACTGAACTTCTAGGCTTTTGGTGTCAGCAAGATGGAGATCAACCACTGGCCCACAATATCAAGGACATTGAAGTCTATTGGGCATGAAGACTAAAATGAACACAAAGTAACTCTGATCCAGGTAAAGAACCAACTCCAAAGCTGTAGCAAGACTGACAAAAGGTTTTATTGAATTAGTTTTTCTAAGTTGAACATGTGTATAATTCTTTTATGAAAATATACATTTCCTGAATAGAATTTATTCTCAATTACCTGATGCATTGTGTGTGTAAAAAGTCTTTTGTATATTATTAATATTTCCAAATTTAGATAATCCAAGTTAAAAGCTTTCAATGGGGTTTTTCATCTCCCACTGAAATGTGAAATTCTTATCTAAAAAAGCCATTGAGGGCATCAGTTATTGCACTGAGAACCTTTTTCATTTTTATTTTACAAATAACAACATTTACCAAATGTCTGGTTACACTTTTTAGAGGGGAAGAAGAAAAAAAAACATTCACAGATTCTACCTTTTGATTTTGGAGAAACAGGGGCCAGGTAAATTTCATATGAATTGCCTTCAGCTCCCAACAACTCCTGTTTCTTTTTCAACAAAGCATTGTGCAGCGTTGTGCTATTTCTTTTTATATCACCTGAAAAAAAAAAATAAATAAATAAATAAATCAAGATGACAAGACTAATGAGAAAATACATTTTTCTTTTCTACAAACTGGAAATGCAACATTTGTTACATTTCTCTTACCTGTTTACACCAGCCAACCATTTAAACATTCATAATTGACTTGAACAAAATTTTTTCCTTCTTATCTATTAATAACATTAGGTATTTAAAAATATTTAGAGAGAGATAAATGAATTGGAAGAAAATTATAGGTAGTCGAAATGATTTAAAATGTTACAAAAATTCCTATTCTGTCAGTAATGCTAACCAACAACAATCCATTCTTGATTTTCAATGTGCCAAATATAGATTGAATTTTGGCCAAACTTTATGCCAATAATTGCTAAATAATTGTTTCATGCAAATCCTTTTGCTTCCAACCAGAAATAGTTTATTAATACAAACTAATACTAAATAAAAGAAATGGTAGAGTAGTGGTAAAGTCAGTCAGTAACAATAAGAAATGTAACAATCTAGTGTGCGTGTGTGATTCAAAATGCAGGGGGGGGTACTAAAATACAACCGATTATTTTGTGTTGTTATCTCCTAACTTAAATATATGAGGTAAGAAAGGTTGCAGCCATTTTGAATATCTCAAGAACTATTTACATGGCTTTGGTATAACTTGACAACAAATTAGAAGGAAGCTTACTGTATGTGTGTGAAGAGACACTCTTCCATTGGCTTAATTCTGAACTGAAGCCTTTATTTAATCTAAGGAGATGGACTGTTCTCATTACACTGCATAAGTCATCTAAATCTCATTTACTGTTATGCTCGGCCTTCTGCAAGTTCACATTGCAACATATAAATAGGGGCAAAATAATGAAGAAGAAGTCATAGGGATTTTATAAGATTACCAACACTTTAAAAGAAATGTAACAAAGACTAAAACATTCTCAATTTAAGCTAACGAAAAGAATAGAAAACATGAAAATATTTCAAGTACTGTGAAGATTTAAATGTTAATTTCAGAAATGGTGCCAATGCTATGATTTTAGGTTTTTTTAGGTTGTTGAAAGCAATAAAAAAAAATATAAAAATTGTCATTGATGTTAGAGGAAGTGACCTACCCAAGACAAGTCCTAAAATGTGTGCAGTTTTATCATTTGTACTAAGGCTCAAGATTAACAGTCCTGTTACTGTTAGCCATAAGTTTAGGACAGCTCCATTTTGGTGGGGGGATGTCAGGACATTAGAAAATTTTAAATTAAAATTCTATAATATTTATTCTAAAAGCAACTAATTTCATAGAAGTAAAAAAGAAAATAATTCTTCCTTCTCATCAATAATAACAGGCTTTTTAATAAAATGGAGCATACACACATAAATAACAAACAAAACTTAAATGCTTCTTTTGAAACTGACGAATGAAATATCAATGAAAAATTGAAGGACTTAAATTCAAAAATTTATATTATTTATCTATAAATGAGGAAAAAAATTAGGATTTAATTGCAAGAAATAATTTAGCATTAATGAACAAAAGAAAGGAAATTATATTTTTCTGTCAATTTTTTGTTGAAAAACACGAGTGAATCATTAACAATATTTATACATTAGATTTTCTGGTTCTAAACTGAAAATACAGTAGAGAATTTTTTTTTAAGTTGATTTATTAAAGATGCAAAACAGGTAAATAAAAATATTTTTGTTAAAGTCTTTAAAAACTTTTTGATTGTGAATCGCTGGAATGTGCTAGAGGACAATGATTAAAGTGTGATAAAAGTTACTGAACGTGAAAATTAATAACATATCTGTATGAAATTAGTCAAGGTAATTTAATTGAAATGTTTAAATAAAAAATAAAATTGATATTTATGAAAAAAAAATTTAATATTTTAAATTGGTTTTAGTTCCTAAACATTTTAATGGTATTTTTATTATACTACTAACAACTATAGATGACAAAGTTTAAAAAAAATAAAAAAAATAACCTCTTTATTTTGGGACTGTTTAAAAATTTTTAAATAAAATGTAAAGTATAATAGAGACTATATAAAATTTATTCCCTTTTTACCAATGTAGCTCAATGGTTAACCTTTTTTTGATAATGACCCAAATGCTTATCTAAAATCATTTATGCATTTTCGTAAATAGAATATATTTCAGACAGACAGAAAATAAAATATTGTTTATTATGAAATAAAAACTTGGATATTTTTTTCAAAATTAAACCCATCCCCAATCTCAATGACTGAAAATAGGTTAAATCTGAAATTCATTATATGAAAATGTTAAATTGAGAGCTGACTGGATTTTAAAATATGCCTTAAAAATATTTAAACCAGATCTTGATATGCAAAATCACTTTTCAATTTGACATACACCATACATATAGCACACATTCCTTGATAAGGGCATGATTTTCAACACAGATTAAAAGTATTAATCCCCCACAATATAAGCCCAAACTTGCAATGATTGACAGATTCAGTTTCTAAATAATACAGGAACATCACTGGTAGGGGCCGATATTAAAATCTGTTTTGAGGTTCAGTACCATAGTGGGGTTTATTAATATTTTTGGTACCAGTGTAGTAAAATATGAATATTTTTCATGTTTTTTTTTTTTTTTTTTTTTTTAATTTTTGTTGTTTGTCAATCAAAATAAAAGGAAATAAATTCAATGTCAACAATCAAATAAGAAAAAAAAAGGCAAGGTTTTCTGTGTGCAAAGATTGGGGGGTGGGGAGTGAAACCATAACAAGTATCAAAGAATGAAATGCACAAGTATAGATTTTAAGCAGTTTCAAGAAGTAACTCCCTCTCTAGAAGAACTTGATCAAAATAAAATTTAAGTAGGTCCCAGGAAATGGGTAGTCAAAACAGGTTAAACAACATTTGGTGCCACCATCTTAGTACCTGAATAGTTACTGAAATTTCAGAACCAAACTGACAACTCAACTGCCATGTGTTTGGTACCCCACTGAGTTTATGCTTATTTGCTAAAATGTTGCCATCCCAAATACACAAATTACATGTTTCATCCCACATAACGCAGATTATTTCAGATATGAGAATACAACAACTAATTAAAACTATAGATGGCATTTCACTAAAATAGTCCCAAAATATTTTAGTACAGGTGTATAAAAATAAATTTCCAGACAGGTATTATTAAATTTCTTTGAAAGTACTATGGGATACATGAGGTTTTGGATTTTGGTACTAGCTTCACCACCACCACAAACATGTTCACAAAGGAAAAAAAAAAAAAAAAAAAAAACACCAATGCCAGGAAAAAGTTAAGAAACAAAACAATTATTGACTCACTAAGAAATTTATCTTGGATTTGTTATTCCATTTTTATAACAAATCCAATTTTGACCAATATCTGAAAAACACTCAAGAGTTTTATACTCATTCTTCAAATATGAGAAAAAAATCAATAGAGAAAGCTGTCAAAGTTTAATAACAAAGGAGAAAAGAAAATAATCTTAAATCCCTGCCAACAGATATTGACTAAAATTGACAACCAGGTATTAAGATACCTCCACAACCAAGCATCACTGGACAGTAGTGAAATCCAGGTAAAAAAAAAAAAAAAAAAAAAATTCAATATTGATTTTCAAGTCAGACACCAATCTGGACCAAAATTATATTCTTTAACAAACAAAATATAAATAAGACAGAATCCAACAGAGAATTATTACCAAAAATAAAGCAAAACTGTCTATAAATATCAGAAAATAATCTATGACAAGGGTATTTATACATTACTAGTTTAAAAGCCGCCCTCTTGAGCAGCATTTAAGCTGGCTGCTGCAGCAGGGTTCTTGACTGGGCCTTTCGCTTGTTCAGGAGTTTAAGAGTCCATAAATGACATGCATATTCTCAGCATTGGAAACTCTTCTGGTTGCCGTTTTATTTTATCTGGGCTTTCATTTGCACAGCACTTTCTTTTCCTTGCTGCAGCCTTGGCTGTTTTGATTGCAATCTGGTCCTCTGTTGGCAGAGATTTCTTTTTGCGAGGCCTACTGTTGCCATATACAATAAGCAACAATAAACAATAGAACTCAAAATTGATCACTGCATTTAAGTATTGCATTAATATTTAAGCTTACCTTTTAAAAGCTCAACGATAATTCTTCTCTCGCCACTTAATTTAAATACAATTTGATGTATGTAGGTCCTTACTTTCCGTACAAACAATTATTTTTATTTCATGGATGACTTTTGCTGGATCTCAGAATTAATTTCAATTATTCCCAAAATTATTTATAAGTTATAAAAACTGTTCACTTAAAAAAAAAAAAAAAAAATGACATAAAACAATCACAGCAAGGAAAACTTGGGAATCCAAATTTTCAGGATTCGGCCCAGAATGTTTTGACATCATATGTTAGGCTATAAACTAAGTTGAAAAAAGTGACACACTGACATTTGCATTTATTTATATAGAAGAGAAAAGGAAAATATTTGTTGTAGCAGATATTAATCAGAAATCATATAACAAACATGAAGTGAGTGCTGAAAGTTGATGATAAACTTGATGAGAGCAGAGGTTGAACCTTACAACCAATAACCCAAACTTCTTTTTGCCCAATTTCAGACAGCAGTTTGGAAAAATGACATCTGACATGAAAATGAATACAAAGAATATCACTGATTTTCTTTGTGCAGAAAAAAATTGCACCCACTGATATTCAATAACACTTGATGAACATTTATGGAGACCAAACAATAGTTATGAGCACAGTTCTGCAGCAGGTAATGTTTAAGCAGTAGCAACAGCAATATGTATGTTAAGCTACATTCCAAACCAACCTGTATAGCTTTCCACCCACAAAACAAAGTGCCCTGAAAATGTGATGCCAGTGGTAGTGACCATGTTGGAGAATAGTGTTTTGCAGCTGAAAACTTGCTCTATCCAACAGCGTTATTGTGCTCCCTGTACATGTTATAGATTGTGGAAATAAATAGGAGGCATTATTTTTAGAGTATCCTTCATCAATACAATTGAAAGCT